CTTTGCTTCAGGTTGAGAACAGAAATCGTGCTCCGGCAGCGCAAGGTCCCATTAGCTAAAGTGGTGCTTCAGGTTAAGAACAGTTTCAGGTTAAGAACGGACCTTCGGAACGAATTAAGTACTTAACCCGAGGTACCACCGTATAGTGCTGTTTGGAAAGAGTCTTCATTCAAGAGTGTCTTCCTCTGGGCAAAATGAATTCACTGCTAAAGGGCACAGCAGTCATAGCCCTGCAAGATCACCACAAATAATGTATTTTGCTTCATCACTATGTTATGTCCTGACTCAGAACTACAGAAAAAATCTCAAAACTCAAGTAATGTTTTAGGTTTCTTATTCTGTTTCATGGACTCTTCTATCACAAGCTCACTCCATCAGTAATCCTGTTTACCAAGCCCAAATACTGGACTTTGCCCAGTGGCAGCTGAAATCGGTTGCAACTCTAAGCTATTTCTTTCCTTCCTCTGTTAGCTAGTCACCTTAATAATTCTGAATCTCCCATATTTTCCCTTATCTTCATGTCTGGACCTAACAAGATGTTTTTAGCCCAATTTCATCTTTGAAACATAGTTCACATAAATAATGTAATGTTCAGTTAACATTCTACTTCTTCCATGGCTTCCCCATTATGTTTGGCCGACTGCAAGTCTTTGGGATACGTGTCCGGCTTGCTCCCACCCCCACCACATTTTTGTCCACTGCTTGCTGTGAGATGCAGGGGCAGGTCAAACCACAACTCCAAAGAAAATAAAATATCTATCCCATGGTTTTCCTACCAAATGGATTAAGATGGTACAGTGCCATCTTATAAAACAACTGCTCCCTATTATCACAACTTCTTATTACGACAGAGAGGTTAGTAACAATTAATTCATTACTAACTTTTGTTTAAATGTGGATGTTCAAGTTTATTTCTTTACAAAACCATAATTTATACTAATCTGTTCCTGTATAGTTCAACTTTGCACCATAATCCAGTAGCTACCTTGCAGTACAGTATTTCAGTTTTATTCTCAATACCACTAAACAACTGCTTATGCTTGCTTGGAGATAGAAATTTAAAATTATTAAAGGTTTATATGCTTCTTTATATAGTTAGTGTCAAATGTAGAACAAACTGAATAAAAGCCTTTCTTTTTAATCCACTCACCCTTTGGGGTACAAGGGAATTGCATCTTACACAAGGGTTAGGTTCCAAGGTTTATGAAGTAGGCTTGTTTCAAATGTAAAAATTAACCACAATTTAATCTGTGGTTAATCTGAAAATAACACTTCTGATGGTCTTCCTGTGTATGCCAAAGAGAAAGGATGTGTGCGTGTGCATAGAAGCCTGTGGTTCACTCTCAGAACACTAAACAATGGTTAGCATTACATCCAAATACAGCCTTTGTGAAGCATATCAGTGTCCAGCAACCATAAAAAGAAGTATGAAAAATTAAACAGACTAGTTACAGAATAAGGACAAGATATATAGCCAAACAGTTGAATAAGCTCTCAATCACCAATGTAATCTTGTTAGACCTGTCAAGAGCACATACACTTATTAATATACAGTTGCAACAGCAATGTGATGGGTTGCTGCCAGAAAAATACTTCAATATCCAAGAATGTGGAAGAACCATAGCTCAGTATTACAGTAACTGCTTGCCAAGCAGAAGGCCACAGCTTCAATCCCCAGCATCTCCAAGTAGGACTAGGAAAAACTCCTATCTGAAACCCTGGAGAGCAGCTGCCACTAGTATATAGCAATACTGAGCTAGATGGACCAGTCTGACTGGACATGATACAAGTTCTCATGTTCCTAGCGACATGGCTATGCATGTCACACACCTACGCCTTTAAGATAACCTTGCAGTTAGGTTAGTCACTTGCCAAGGACAAAACAGGTATTCCTGCTAGACAAGTTACTTCCAGATGCTCAAGCTGCCCCATGACATACAGGTATATAGACTCCATATAAACATACACACACAAAAATTGTCCTCTGCAAGGCTATCCCAAGGACACAATTCATTCACAGAAATTCTGTATTTAAAAAACTCAAAAGTGCAGGGAGTAATGGGTGCAAGAAGTTTGAAGTACTGCATAGGCTTCTGTGCAGTACACCCTTGATGATCCCCAAGGAATGCTAAGGGATTAGCAAGAGGCACATCAGAATTCTCTAAAAGATATAATACAGGCAAGGTCTTGAGATATGCAGTATTAGTTTGCATGCCACTACACGCCTGAAACCAGATGTATTACCAATGTGGTGCCCTCCAGATGCTGCTGGACTGCAACTCCTATAGTCTCTGACCATCAGGCATGTTGTCTGGGGCTAGGAGCTGTAGGCCAACCATAGGCTTAGGATTTTTGTTAGGGGGGGCAGGCCTTTTGTTAGGGGAGGTAGAACCTCAGTTAGCTATGAATTTATATTGATTTTTATAGATTTAGGAGGACAGCTGCCTCTCCCTGCCCTGCCCCCCGGCTATGCTCTTGAGTCCAACAACACCTGGAGGGTACCACACGGCATTATCCTGCAAGGCAAGTGGCAAAACATCACACTCATCATTTAATTAACTGTCCAGAGCACCCTACTGAGAATGTAGGTTCTGCACCACATATTAGAAAAGGCAAAAGGCCATCTTACGCCACAAATTGGTATCCAATCACCAAAAGACCAAATACCAGATTCAGTAGTCTGCCATACCTTGGTTTTAAGGTCTGTTAAAAGCTAAACAGAGAAAGAAGGCCCAACTAAAAGAGGATGATCAAATCCAAACCAGATACAAATATAAAATTTCTGCAATAAATACACAAACCATATAACACTGCTAGGATCAAAAACGCAAATCTATGGATGTGATTCCCAGGGGAAAGAATTGCAATAATGAAAAAAAATTTTTTTCCAGACAACTTGAAACAATAAATTCAAGTAAACTCTGTTCCAACTGTAGTTGTGGCTGGCAGGTATACAAAAGACAAAAAACAGTTACTGTTGTGATATAAACCGATCAGGTTCACAGCTGAAAGTGCTTGCTTATGTTACAGCTACCTGAGTTGATCTTGAAGTTTGTATTACAAGACTAATGCTGACAGATGGAGCCATAAATATTGTGCTTACTGCAAATGTTCAGTCACTACAACTCCCTAAACATTCCCCTCTCCCTGTTTGTTGTAAAAATATAAAAATAAGATATTTTAGAAAATAACTCTGCATCCCTACCCACAACTTGCCATTTGATTCTGAGCCGTATTTTTCATTGTCTCTGTAAGGGCTAATAACTTTTTAAAACAACAACATCTAGAATTAAACTTTGCACAATGTTATGCTAGCTTTCTCCTGAAAATATATACAGTGGTACCTCAGGTTACAGAAGCTTCAGGTTACAGAAGCTAAACCAAAAATAGTACCTCGGGTTAAGATCTTTACTTCAGGAGAACAGAAATCTTGCTCCAGCGGCGCGAAGGCAGCAGGAGGCCCCATTAGCTAAAGTGGTGCTTCAGGTTAAGAACAGTTTCAGGTTAAGAACGGACCTCCGGAACGAATTAAGATCTTAACCCGAGGTACCACTGTAGCACTACAAGTCCCTTTGTTGTGTAGCGATGGCAATTATGGCAAACTATCAGTGATGTATGGAAGTGAGAGCTGGACCATAAAGAAGGCTGACCGCTGAAGAATTGGTGCTTTTGTATTATGGTGCTGGAAGAGACTCTTGAGAGTCCCATGGACTGCAAGAAGATCAAACGTATCCATTCTTAAGGAAATCAGCCCTGAGTGCTCACTGGAAGGACAGATCCTGAAGCTGAGGCTCCAATACTTTGGCCACTTCATGAGAAGAGAAGACTCCCTGGAAAAGACCCTGATGTTGGGAAAGATGGAGGGCACAAGGAGAAGGGGACGACAGAGGAGGAGATGGTTGGACAGTGTTCTCGAAGCTACCAGCACAAGTTTGACCAAACTGTGGGAGGCAGTGGAAGACATTAAACCAGGGGTCAGCAATCTTTCTCAGCCATGGGCACCACTGTCCCTCAGACTGGTGGGCCGGATTATATTTTGGAAAAAAATATGAACAAATTCCTATGCCCCACAAATAACCCAGAGATACATTTTAAGAACACATTCTACTCATGTAAAAACACGCTGATTCCCGGACTGTCCGCGGGCCGGATTGAGAAGGCGATTGGGCTGCATCTGGCCCCCAGGCTTTAGGTTGCCTACCCCTGCCTTAATCTTTCACTGGAGAAAATGAAGCACATTTTAATCCACCCCACCCCCCGCCCAAACAAACACAGCTATAAAAAAACAAAACCCTTGCAAATAATTCAGTGGTTTTATATATTCATAGTCAAAAGCCAAGGTACCTAAAGCAGCAGAAAGATAATATCATAGGGAATAGGAAAAAAACACACGTGTCAGTCGTAACACCCTTGCAGCAGTGAATAAGCGTGCAAAAAGAAGGCCTTGACACGCATCCAATTATATCTCGAAGAACAGTTTTAACAGGAAACTGTGCATGCAAAGCACGTCTATATCGTAACTCGGGCGCTTCTAATGCAGTGGGACGTGTGCGGGTGTATCCGCGTCTAAAACGATGGTCTCCTCTCTGCGCAGCTGCGAGCCGGTTGAGGCAAACAAGCGACTCTCTATCTTCTACAACCCTCGAGCGAATCCGACGCTCGCCCCACGACAGGTTCCATGAGGCGCCAACCAATCCGGCTTTCCTCCTCCTCTCACGTGATTTCCCCCCACCCGCGCGCCCCAGCTGGCGCGCGCCGATTTAAAAGCCAACGCCTGAAAGAAAACGGTTGACTAAAAGAGTTGGGGGGGGGGGAGTGAGAGGAGAGAAACTGCGCGCGCCTTCCTTTCCTCTCCCGAGCCCACCCACCCTCTCCAACATCACATGACCTCGCTTTTAACCAATAACCTTTTAAAATAACCTATAGGCGACCAGCCCGGGTCTCCCCTCGCGCTCGCATTTTAAAAAAGGCGGCAAGCCCGTTTGAAGAAAGAAGCTCACCCGCCAGTTTGAACAGCCGTGTTTAGAGCCCGGGTCCTAGTGCGCTTGCCAATCACACAAACTTGCTCCGGCCGCTTCCGGAGTGCGCCGTTGCCCTTTAGAACCTGAGGGAGTGGGCGGGGCTGCTCGCCGTTCTCCACAGAGAGTTGGGATAGAGTTGCCATTTCACGTGCTGAAGACGGGGTCGATGCTCATTCTGTGAGGGGGGGGCGGTCTTTTGACTTTTTAAACCTTTATAAAACTGCAGCGCTAACACGCCACTGTCTTCCCAACATTTCGCGAGGAGGAAAGGGAGCCGAAGCCGAGGGAGGATTGATTTACGACACTCCTATTTATGACCGTAGGAGCTGTCACCCCAATTCCCAATGAAGTCAACGGAGCTGAGACTGCGCCATCTAGCGCAGGTTATTTCAGGCTGCTGGAAATTAGGGCTAAATCGAGCCGGAAGCTGGGAAGTTGGTTGTCACTCTTCAACTTGTCCAGCTCTGTGGGCGCCTTCGGCGAGCTCTTACTCCCGCCTTTTCCAAGAGATGATTGACGTCACGTTCCTTCAACGTGACAGAATCAGCGGAAGGAGGAATGACCGGAGGAAAGAAGGCGGCGAGGAAAGCCGCCGTTGTCTAGGCAACCGCGCGCATGCGCAGTGCGGCGGGAAAAGCAGGCGAAGGAAAGGCCGAACGATAACTTTCTTCAGTGAAGGGCAGCGGGCAGGAGCCGGTCGTTTCACCTAATATATGTGGCAACCCCGTTCCTATGTCTGCTCACTTGGGAGATAAGTTCACTGACTTCTGTGAAGCTTGCATGTTACGTGTTAAGATTTTTTTTGAATTAAAAAAAAAATATATAACCCACTTAAAAAAAAATTCTTAAGCTACTCACTAAGTGGTTTTCCACAGGACGTATTGCATTGCTGCCAAAAATGCTTACTCAGAAACTCCACAATCGCTATGTTGGAAAGGCTGCTGCGCCTGTTGGATTTCTGCCTGCTGTGCACCTTCTTACAGGCTTGCCACTTTTTCCTTCTGATCAGGGACCCTCTGGCTTTAATGCTCGTAGGACCAGGGCTTCCAAACTACGGTCCATCGTGGAGATGCAGGGCTGAGCAACTAACTACACCTGTTGAATTTCTTCACATTACAAGAAGGCGGTGGAAACCTAGTTAGCGCTAGCCTTAGGAAGAGAGAGGGTTGGAAGGCTAGGACTGGGCAGAGTGGAATTGCCACTTTATAACTAATTTTGCACTTGGGGTTGCAGTATCAAAATACCACCTATCTTAAAACAAAACAGAACAACAGTCTGGAACAACAGGTTCTTCAAGATTCTCACCAACCAAATGCATGCTTGAGATATTGGGGTGAGAATAGTATCTATGCCGCAGATTTCGAGATACACTCTCTCCATGTATGTTCAACAGACACTTAGAAACTATAGCAACATATAGATGGCCTTGATCCATCCTTGCTGCCTTTGGGCCATATCTATATGTACTTAATATAAGATGAATTGGGGGAGAATCAGAGCTAAGTTTTATGAAATGTAGCTCTCAAATCTCTTATCAAAGACTATTGTATGTACAAGCTAATTTAAGCTTCACACCAAAGTGATTTTCATCCTTGTCAGATTGTGAAAAAACTTCTCTCTTAAGTTTGAGTAGTGGCAATCTGACAAGTTTTCTCCTAGACTTATTTTATCCAAATATTCATCACCTGAACTACCTAACGTCAGCTGGAGGGCACAGGCTCTGGCCTCCCCCAATCTTTTTTGTGTGTAGACATTACGAGAGCCATAGGGCAGGCCAGATACAGAGTTACTATTACACTAAAAAGCAGACCATAAACAAGTATTGTGCTAGAGAGGATCAAACTAAGTGAGGGAACAATATATATACACACACCTCCAACTTGGTGTAGGAAAGCAGCTGCAGGGGAGAAGCCAAATTTGAGCACCAAAACTTCATGTGGATAAAGATTTTAGCATACACTCCCACCCCCCAGCTCTGCTCAAAGTTTCCCTTTTCCATTTGATGCATTGCCACTGCCCTTTCTGAAACATTACTTTTATCATTGTTCTTGAACAGGTTTTATTTTTACTCTTATAAAATCCACAACAGCCAAAGAACAGATGAGGTTTTATTACAAATGTTGTCTTATAAAAGAAACTGGAATGTATTCATTAAAATTCAATGTCATTATCGAGAACTAATCCAACTATCAGTTGCTACCCATTGTCTTCAAAGTCCTCACTTTTTATTATTATCCAGCCATACAGTTTAATAGGCCCCGAAGAAATTTATAATACATCAGAGGCTGACATTCATTGGACATATCACCGAATTGGCTACAAATCTTTTGTTGAGTTCTAAAACAATTATTTCAGTATAAAGCCCATACTTGTTTGTGCTTACAAAAGTGTAGATGCTTATGACAAACCTTGTATCACAGAAATGAAACAATCTTCTGTACACTCCGCTTTTTAGTAAGTAGATTTAGTAGGCAGCAGTCACTGCTTATTCACTATTTTCAAAAGAGTTTTAACCTCAGAATTTGCACTACAATTTCAAAAGATTCGGTTCCAGCTTTCCAAACAACTAATATTCCCACAGCCACATTCTACATCTGTTTACTTAGAAGGAAGTTCCACTGGACTTAATCCTAGGCAAGTATGTCTAGGATTGCCACTTTACATGTAATCCTAAGTACTATGGTGACATGCAGTTGAGTTGAATTGATCTGGGATGCCGAGGATCAAACTATGTTGGATATATCAGCCCAGCAGCCTAAAACGGCACACAGCTCACTTTTGCCTTCATGGCTTTTGAATGTTAAGAGACATGTATGCCTTTGCTAAGCCTATAGCAGGGGTGGTAGGAAGAGACTGAGATTTTCTTCTTCTTATGGGTGGTATCTGACTAAGTTAGAATAGTACCATTAAAATCAATGGATTTGTAGTCATAACTAACTAGCCCCCTTGATTACAGTGGGTTTACTCTTTGTGTGACTTAGCCATTTACTACTGTATATTTTTTAAAGCCATATTACTGTATATATTTAAAGCCTTTTTATAATGTTTCTAAATTTAAAATAAATTTCTAAAACTGAATTATAGCAATCTGTATGACATTTAATTATCATTTTCAAAAGTAGGATCACTTCACACATCACCATTCTGCCCTCCCAAAAATACATATACAAACAATATGCCATAAGCATACACGGAAAAATGCCACATATTAATGTAACAACATACTATATTTGTCAGAGTTGGTTGCAGCTCCATGTCAAGTTTAGGCTTGGTTGTATAGCTAAGGTTGCCTCTGCATAATATGTGAAGTAGCCTTTAGGACACTATTCAAAAAGTTTGCCTAGGCAATGTTTTATAGTTACATTCACATGACAGAGCTGACAGCTAGGAGACACATTAATTTCAAGTATTATTATACCAACAAAAGTCTAGAAAATGCTGATCTACTTTACATATGCTTTCAAATCAGGAGATCCAAATATTTCCAGGCTGTTAACAAAAAAAGTAAATTTAAAGAAATGTTTCATGCTCTACATAAAATATTAACTCACTATGTTCATACCAAACAAATAGTGCAGGCCAACAGGGATAAGTATCATATGTAAACTGCAGGCAATAGTAATGAATCAGACAATTAATTACATCAGACACCAACAATATTCAAACATAGAACTATTATTAAAATCTTATCCCATCTGAGAAAATGGTCTGTAAGCACTGCATGTTAGAGGAAATTGCTGGATCATTAAAAAAACAAAACATAAAACAACCAGTGGAAATGATTTCTATTTATAGTTTGTACACTTTTTTCTTGTGTATGTATAAATACATCAACACCATGTTCTTATTGGGGTCATTCACATTATTTTATAATATTCCATATAGCAAGACCATCAGCATCCTGTGTATTACAACAGTTAAAACTATTTTATTCAAAGGACTGATACATTTAGAACATACTGGGAGCAGTTGCAAATCCTAATCAATTCAGGATGTGCATGCTGTCCAATGGTTGGATCTTTGTCTCCAGCTCTAAGGGCTAGATTGGGTCCATGTGCATCCGTGTTTTAAGGGTGGTACTGAATCCATAAGAAGATAGCTGCCAAAGCCAAGTGCACGAACTGGTACATATATTGTATGAAGAGTTTTCTTTTTTGAAACTCAATTCTGATCTTTCCATTCTGAGAAATAATGCTCTATATGGGAAGGATTCTAATGCAGCAATATCTCTCTTGCACAATATACATAGCAGGACAAAAAAGGTCAACATTTGATTTTGACTTTGCTCCTCAAAAATCCAATCTGCAGCAAGAATAAATTGAAGTATGGAAGAACAGATCTTCTTCTGATATGCTGTCATTGATTTTTAGGTAAACTGTACCTGTCTGTAAGTGGTCTTTAGGCAACCCCTAAAGCTGGAAAACAGTAGTTTATCTGGGACTGTCAAGATTACACAGGTGGATAGCTCAACATTGCATCTAGGGTGCAATGTTGACATAAATCCTTTCTTTGCCAATAAAGACACCGCAACCACATTTCTTTATTATTTTAGGCTACAATGGCCCAGATCAGACATTTCTTCCTTCACCTGGCTGCACCCTTAGGGATGTTCCATGTGAAGGATTTTAGAACATGTTAACTGGGCTGTCACTTCTTTAAGGAACTATTAACCCTCAGAGAAAAATTAAGTCTGCTATCATCCCCAGAGAAGACTGAAGAACCCTTCATATGCCACTTGGATTTCAGCTACTGATACCCTAATGAAAGCTGCTACCAACAAGACAGCAGATTAAAACCTAATCAAACATCTAAAAATGTAATAACCACTGCCCAGCTGAAGCATTACATGATTCTGGGCAAACTACCAAACATGAAAGGCTTTACAGTTTAAAGTACTCTTGACGGTTACTTTGGGATGCTTGACCATTCAAGTCACTACCTTTAAGCTGTACAACAGCAACTAAGGATAGATTCTGAATCTAAGAACAATTTGAATTAAACTTCAATCCTCAATTCACCATAAATTGTTGAAAATAGTTCATTCTATCCTGTTCTTACCAAGTATATTAGCAGTGTATTGCGCAAACACCCTCCCCCATGTTTCTGAAGCATGGCCTCTCCAGAGATTAATGAGGCAACATTTGTGCTCTCGGTAATTCACTGGGCCACGTTTCATACCAACGCTGCATCAGAATTCCTGCATCAGTAAGATGTATACACAGGCAAAATAAATTATATTTCTTTTCCACATAATTGTACAGTGGCACCTCAGATTACATGCACTTCAGGTTACATACGCTTCAGGTTACACACTCCGCTAACCCAGAAATAGTGCTTCAGGTTAAGAACTTTGCTTCAGGATAAGAACAGAAATTGGGCTCCGCCGGCGCGGCAGCATCAGGAGGCCCCATTAGCTAAAGTGGTGCTTCAGGTTAAGAACAGTTTCAGGTTAAGAATGGACCTCCGGAACGAATTAAGTACTTAATCCGAGGTACCACTGTACTGTGGTACATTCACACTCCACTGCTACATGCATTTTGAATATGCCCTTCTTTTTATTTGAATAAGTTGGCCCTACCAGCA